TTCCCAGTAGATATGCAGGCCACCATTATTCCCCGTAGATATTCAGGCCACCGTTATCCCCAGGAGATATTCAGGCCACCTTCATTCCCAGAAGATATTCAGGCCACCATTATTCCAAGTGATATTAACGACACTTTCATTCCCAGTAGATAATCCAACCTCTCGTTCCCATAGAATTATTTATTCATATTATTACCCAGTAGACAATACAGCCTCTCGTTCCCTCCACATTCCCCAGTAGGTAATCCAGCCTCCTTCATTCCCAGTAGATAATCCAACCACCTTCATTCCCCGTTGATAATAGAGTAATTTTCATTCCTAGTAGACAATCCATCCACCTTCCCCAGTAGGTAATCCAGCCTCCTTCATTCCCAGTAGATAATCCAGCCTCTCGTTCCCATAGTATTATTTATTCATTTTCATACCCAGTAGACAACCCAGCCTCTCGTTCCCTCCACATTCCCCAGTAGGTAATCCAGCCTCCTTCATTCCCAATAGATAGTCCATCCATCTTCATTCCTAGTAGACAATCCATCCACGTTCCCCAGCAGGGAATCCAGCCTCCTTAATTCCCAACAGATAGTGCATCCATCTTCATTCCTCGTAGACAATCCATCCACCTTCCCCAGTAGGTAATCCAGCCTCCTTCATTCCCAGTAGATAATCCAGCCTCTCGTTCCCATAGGATTTTTATAAGCTATTTTCTTTAATCTTTAATCTCATTTGAAAACAAAACCCATAGAAAACTTATTACAAATTAAGGATAAACTCCCTATTAACCCTTTCATCCCTATGTAACTTGAGTAAACATAACATTGCATTGATCTGGATGAGTCCATTATGGTCTACATTGATGAAAGGGTTAAATCACAATGTCTTTTGAAAAAACATTTCATAACATTTATTAACTTGTTAATTCCAATGTAAGGAGAAGGGTTGCATGTCACACCATGCAGAGGGTCACAAGGCCTAGAAAGGGTTGCATGTCAGACCATGCAGGGGTCACGAGACCTAGATGGGGTTACATGTCAGACCATACAGAGGGTCAAGAAGCCCAGAAGGGGTTGCCTGTCAGACCATGCAGAGGGTCATGAGGCCTAGAAGGGGTTGCATGTCAGACCATGCAGAGGGTCACATGACCTAGAAGGGGTTGCATGTCGGACCATGCAGAGGGTCGCCAGGCCAAGAAGGGATTTCATATCAGACCATGCAGAGGGTCGCCAGGCCAAGTAGGGGTTGCATGTCAGACCATGCAGAGGGTCACGAGACCTAGAAGGGGTTGCATGTCAGACCATGCAGAGGGTCACATGACCTAGAAGGGGTTGCATGTCGGACCATGCAGAGGGTCGCCAGGCCAAGAAGCTCAAAACTAACTTAATTCAGTTCTTGAAATTTCAAATTGTCAATATAATCTGATTCGTATTTTGCAAGTTATTGTCTACAATAAGTGACCAAAATACCAAATACAATTGAAAAAGATTTCAATGATCACAGTCCCTCATGCATGTGACTGCTATGACAAATGTTACAAAACCTTCTATTTTCACCCATCACATTTAACTATTTTCGCCCATCACATTTAACTTACCATTTTCGCCCATCACATTTAACCATTTTCGCCCATCACATTTGACTTACCATTTTCGTCCATCACATTTAACTTACCATTTTCGCCCATCACATTTAACTAACCATTTTCACCCATCATATTTAACTATTTTCGCCGTCACATTTAACTTCCTATTTTCGCTTTTCACATTTAACTTTCTATTTTCACCCTTCACATTTAACTTACCATTTTCACCCTTCACATTTAACTTATTATTTTCACCCATCACATTTAACTTACTATTTTCGCTTTTCACATTTAACTTTCTATTTTCACCCTTCACATTTAACATACTATTTTCACCCTTCACATTTAACATACTATTTTCACCCTTCACATTTAACTTACTATTTTCACCCTTCACATTTAACTTACTATTTTCACCCTTCACATTTAACTTACTATTTTCGCTCTTCACATTTAACTTACTATTTTCGTTTCCACATTTAACTTACTATGTTTATAATGATGTTTACTGATTTTTGCTGTAATGATAAATTTGCCCCAATTATGGAGAGTGAAAGAGAAGAAAATTAAACTGCAGGTAAAATTTTCCGTTATACAGTATTTCATAGCCTTATTTTTAAAGTCTAAAAACAGATGTGTCTTTGAGGCCTGCTTATACCGACTCTTATTCTGATAGCCAGGGTTTGAAGCCAGTTTTAGAGTATTAGTGAATTTGTTATTCTTTACCACTGCATTGCTGTTAGTTTTTGGATTTAATTTAATGTAGATACCGGATACAAAATACTTCAGATAATCTTGACTGTTTGATACTGATAGAAATTAAATGTCCTTTATACCAGCAAGCTAATGATCAAAGGCCTGTTCTTCATAAAATGCTTAACGTTCATGAAAAACAGGCTGTTTTTGCCAGCAATTTGCTTTTAATTAGAACACTAGTGTCAAGCCAAATATCATGTCGCTAGGCCTCGAAAGCCAGTAGAAGAAATGGTCTGAAAATGAGACATTGTCATTTAGCTGGACAAATTTCATAGACTGATGGTTGTATATGATGCCAAACGCACCACCACATGCAAAAGTTACACAAGAGGCCCAGAGGGCCTGTAATTGCTCACCTGGATTTCTAAGCTATCATGGAAAGATAATCTCATTAACTCATTCACCCCTGAAATTTAATAATGAACTATTCCAACCTTAATATTGGAAGAGTTCAAATGTGTCTTCAGGGGTGATTGAGTTAAAATTAGTATTGCAAATAAGATCCGAAAGATATTGATAGGGCCAGTTCCAAGGCCCTATCCTGATAGCATAAGTGTATTAAAATCTTCATGCTCAGCAATTGTATATATCGTTATAGTGTAGGGATCTCAAATGATTTCCGTATAACTACCCAGTCCATAAGGGTGGAAGTGGACCCCAAGAGTATTTATCTCGTCATGCCCAGCAACTGTATACCCAATCTAATCAAAATCAGATCCGAATTTCTGTGCCTCTACGATACTCTTTATCGTAGAGGTAACGGAATTCGGATCCGATTTTAATTAGATTGCTGTATACCCTACTAAGGGGTAAAAATCTCAGCCATTTCCATGTCTTGACAAACAGACTAAGTAACCAGGGGTGGGGCAGATTCAGAGGTCAATCATTGTAGCATCTGTGCATTTGTCTCTTCATACTCAGCAATTGTATATACGGTTATTGGGTGAACCCTTTCCAAGTTATGACCCAGGGCCAATCCTGGTAGCAAATCTTCATGTTCAGCAATTGTATATATATTGTTATAGTATAGGGATCTCAAATTATTTCCATGCTATCTCCAAGGGAGTAAGTCCCTAAGGACTAACATCTAACATTGAATTTCCATGAACAGCAATTGTATATATCATATGGTTATAGTGAGTGGGGATCTCAACTCCAAGTTGAGACCTTGAAACCACCAAGTCCCTACAGGTAGGATCAGACCACAGGGTCAGTTCTAATATCCTGATTGTGACCCTCTCTTTATGCCCAGCCATTGTATACTGTATAACATGAAAAGTTTGTTGTGTATAAACATTCTGGTTTTTGTGGTTTTTATTGAACCACGAAAATAAATACAACAAATTTAAATGATACACATGTCTACTGTTTGTTAATAAAGGATATCCACAAAAGTTTGTACCACACAAAAAATCTACCTGTCTTCAAACCACAAAGGAAAGTATCCACCAACATTTCGTGTTATACAGTACAGTGTATATGGTTATGGGGAGGGGATCTAACTGTTTGGAAGCTATGTACCAGGGACTAAACCTTGCGGTGTGGAGCCAGATACTGTGGTCATCCTGTTCACATCTATTTTTTCATCTCTTTATACAGAGCAATTGTATATATATCTGGTTATACGGTGGGGATCACAAACATTCCGAATTATAAATCTTTTTGGCCCCATACCGCAGCCCCAAGGGGTTCAGTCCCTCCATTTGTACAATTTCAGTCCCCTAAGGAGAAGTCGCTTGAGGACATTTTTGACTGCCGAATGGACGACGGTCTCTACAGTACAGCATAACCTCACCATGGTTCTTTAGACCAGGAGAGATAAAAATACATGATAACTTCTATAGATATAATTGCAGGACATTTTTAACACATGTTACCCTTTGACCTTTGAAGTAGATCAAAGTAATTTAATCCCATAAATCTAAGATTTCTCCACCATGGCATGCAACATGTGATAAAGAATGACTCTGAGCCTTATATTTTTATAGAAGAACTTGTTTAAAGGAAATTAGTTTGAATATGGATAGACGATGACAGACACATTCACATCAGTACACAGGCACATTGTGCCAGGCAATCTAATCAAACACTTCTCTAACCTTGATTTTTTCAGAAACTGAGAGTGAAACTAACATGCAGCACATGGTTATAACTTATTATAAGATATAATCATTGCCTTAAATATATAAATTTTGCTAGGTTCATTATTAGTAGCTCTATAAAAAGTCCATTTCAACCATTTGAATGTAAATTTTTAAATATTTTCTTCAGGTTGGTAAGCATGAATAGTAGAATGGTTACGAATCACAACCAGTAAGTGTTTACCTGTGATGTTTCGCTGACTAGCAGGTACGTACCCTATCACCTTCATCAGAAAAAAGGCCAGTGAGGTAATGTACACAAAGACGTACAATATGTACGAGTTGGCAATATTTGTTCGAAATTGATTCAGATACGCTATAAGCATATGTACACTTGGTTGTTATACAAGTACGAAATGACAAATCATACCAACAAATTGATATGGTACATTTGTATGTACATGTACCGTACTAGTCATCGAAACATCACACGTAAACACTTACTGGTTGTGAAACATAACCTTTTCACAATTGGAAAGTGTGGCGACAGCTTACACCAGGTTTGTGTTATTATAAACTAATTAAACAGTGTTAAAGAATTAATTTATTCAGCTTGGTTAAAATAAAAATTTAATTGTCATCAGGTATTTTTACTCTCATCATCATTACTCGTCATCAATATCATCATCAATTCCTTCATAACTGTTGTCCTCCTCCATCTCGCCCCCTTGTGTCGAGTCTCTATCATCGTTACTCACAGTATTGTCACTCATCTCATCGTAGTCATGCACAACCTCTTCATCGTTTTCCTCACCTTCCCTATTGTTCCTATTGACAACGTCCTTGTCACCAGAACCTGGAGAACTGTCCATCGAGTTCTGGTAAATATTTTTATGGCACATTGGGCAATTTTCTTGGATGTAAAGCCATTTTTTCAAGCACGTTCCATGAAAGTAGTGACCGCATGGTGTGATCCTTGCCGAGTCTAAACTTGTGTAACAGATTGGACATACGTCGTTGTATGCGGCCAATTGTTCTGCTGAAGCATGTGGCAGGGATTCCATCCTTTTCACTGCCTCCCTCCGCAGTAAAAAGCTTTTCCATCCGGTCTGGAGTCTTTGCCACACATTGAAATAGCAATGAATGATAAGTATAGAGGAGTTGATCCAACTCCAATCGCCGGCAATAGATTCTTTCATACCGTAACAGACAATAAACACGGCCACCACAAACTCCAAAACACGTACAACTGATCTTGTATAATATATAACATCATCAAGGGAATCCCAGTTCTTGGCACTTACGGAGTCATACATGAAAAGTGCATAGACGACAAGAGCTCCTATGACCTGGACTGTTGTCAGCAAGCAGCTTGACATGATAACTAGTAACCAAAAATCAAGATCGAAGTAATGGCAAATTGAGTAAGTCATAAATAACGGAAACATCCAAAGGAATGTGAACAAGGCCACAGCGCGTATATGCTTGAATATGTTTCTGTTGTGGGCAGCACTTAATCCTAGTAAAATGGGTTCTGATATTTCGTACATAGATTGAATGAGTGATGATGCAACGATGAAAAGAAGAATGCTCATCAGAAATGCCCTCTGTAAAGGTTTCAGATCAAGAAGGCCAGTCTGGATGGCGATCAATAACATGGTAAACCCTTCCGTCCAGCCACGCAGCGCGTCATTATCTGCCTGATATGTAGACCAACCTTGTAGGTAGATTTTAGTCAGGGTTAGGATACAGAACGAAGCGTATGAAATGGTAACTGACAGTGCAAATAATGATATTGGTGTTGCGCAGCATTCGCCTATGCTGGCTAAAAATGTAATCATCACACCTTCATCTAACACCGGGAGATTGGTAGAGTTCACATACACAAAAAGTTGTGTCGAAAACATCACTAACCAGAATACCAGGAGCTGCACTGGAATCAAAAGAGAATACCACATTGCGGCCAAGGTAGCGATACCTCCAACCACCTCGAATGAGATATACACCTGCATCACAGCCTCCTTACACATATTGATGATACTGCCAATACAGTTCAGGAAATACAGGCCAATCATAATAACGGTAAATATGGCTGCTATGTTAATTACAACCTGCTGCTCCTCCAGACCTGTTCCCATAGCACAAGCGAATACTGGCATGGTGAACACAAAGAATGTATATCGAACCCAGTTGGTAATATCCAGTAGATACGCGGTGAGAACCGCCATAACACATTGGATACCTATAAACGTCACAAAACGCTGCATTCCGGCCGATCCCTTGGCATCGTCTAAGATGGAGATTTCATTGCTGGCAGCATGCATGTCTACATATAGTTGAGACAGCTTGTGTTCATTGAAGAGTAGGATCAGTGCAATGAAATGCATGTAGAGGTTCACAAGTTTCCGCAGAGGAAGAGTTGCCAGTATTGCCGCAAAGATCAAAGCTGGTAAAAAAAAAAAAAGCATTATTAATTAAATCAGTGTTCCGACTGACACAGTCCAGGGCTTTTAATCGACAGTTGACATTTTGCAATTTCATCTGTCAAACAAACTTTTCCCTAAAATTCTTGGGAGTCGAAACACATGTTAAATAGACATGCTCATACAAACCCAAGAGTCTCTGAAAAAAATAGGGAAGGCTGACAGACAAAATTTTCAATGTCTTTCCACACATTAAAATGGCTATTAATTTATCAAGAATAAGGTCCGACTCCCAGAACAGGGAGAAAGTACAGTTTAATGAGTGGCTGTCAACTTTGTCTGGCTAATATATTATTCTTAGATACAAGTGATATACTACGTATCAAGGGTCGGCAGGGAAATCTATGGAAGGTCTGGATACCTGAAACACACATATTGCTTTTTGGCCTTAGCAAAATACATACCATATATCATTGCTACAGGAAGGATGCAGGTTGTCATAAGAAGAAATTGTTTACAAAATATTTTTACACACTTGATTCATTGTAGATCAGTAATGCTGAATAAGCCCAAAGGGTCACAATTTTATTTCAAATAGAGATAGGGTTGGATTTGGAAGTGGGCCACATCTACCCTTACAATAAATAAATTAATCAATAAATGAGATTTTCATTCACAGAAATGTTTACCTGTATAGCTTCCTAAAGCATAAAGACCTTCTGTTTCCGATGGCTGGTTTTTTAGAACACTTTTGGCGACATCTCTTTGTGATGTACGAAACCATGACTCCACAATGAAGAGTGCTGGGACCCTCAGTATCACACACACAATTGACTCGATGGACCCTCGCCCTATAGTCAGCATAGTTCCTTGCTGTTGGGTGATCAGTACATTGCAGTGGGTCTACAACACAAGGTCAAGAAACAGAGAGATGACAAAGGGAGGAAACAGTGAAACACCATTTAACTTTTTGGGATGTTTTACTCTGGCGTCAACATGTAATTGCCATAAAAAGAGTTGAAATAACACAGGTTTGTCACGTCACACAGGCAAAAATTTATAAATAACTTGACAAGAAATTTCAACACCTTTATTCTGATTTTAATTCCATCAATGAGCCTAAACATTCTAGACATGTGATCTACTCTATACCAACAAAGCTACTTGGTATGTACCAGCGTAAACTTGTCACCGACAATATAACCTGGTCCAACTTGTACTCCACTAGTAAATTTCTAATGCATGTACAGCCAGAAGGTTTCATTTGAATACAACTATATTTAATTTCAAGGAAAAGATTGTTTAATTTTACCTGTATTACAAGGTTTCTGGGTATGTTCACTCTTTTGCCTGTTTGCCATATAGTTCTGCAATTATTTTTTGTATCAAAATTGCATTTATTCAAATTTATTTTGAAGTTCTATTAAGTAACAGGAGGTAAAATGTAACAGGTCCTGTGAGAGGCCACCAAAGACAAGTACACCATTTCAATTAACTTGCAACCAAGGTTAGGGTGTTCTCTTGCTAAGCACACATACAGTACTTGAGAAACAAAGGGTTGCTAACAGGCACCAATATCCCGAAAGGAAAACAAGCTCTATCAAACTTATCATTGAAATGTCTCTTAATGCTAATGAACGTTTCTAAATATTCTGTATATACAACAAATACAGATGAAACAGATGCAATGAGAAAAAACTGTGATTCAAACTGTAAATGGACACCAACCAACTGAGCTATTTGATCACTGGAACGTTGTAGCCACATTGAAGTATGCTGTAAAATTTCTGAATAAAAAAATGAAGGTTTCAGATGAATTAATAACAAACATTTTGAAATATACAGTAGAGTCATAGCTGACAAACATACACATATCTTATTCTACATGATGTATTAATTATCAATATATTATTAATAGTGATGTAGTGGAATTGGACTGGGTCGATCGATGGCAACCAGGTAGCTGATCATGCATCATCAATTGGTAGAGCGTCCGTCTAGAGTTTGGAGGGTCTGGGGTAAATAAATAAGAACCCAGTCTGGCCACTAGGCATTTTACCATCTCCCGTTACGGTAAGTTTACTTGATCAAAAGTAGAATACGAATATTAAATTTAGGGCAAACAGATATAAGGGAAAACAGAACATATTTCTATCCCAAGCACACACGTGTTTGAACCCTTATTAATAAATAAATACATTGGATAGTTGGGGAGAAATCATATAATCAAATTTTAAGAGTGCAATGTACATGCTTGAAATAGATAAACATCTGTTAGTAGGTAAAGAAAAATATAAGTATGATACAGTTTACCTTATTTTAACAGGTTGATATTTAGATAATACAGCTCTGTATGTCATTTCATAGCATTCAGTGCTAGACAGTAAAAGAGATTGACATGTTAAAAAGCCTGGTGAACGATTTTTTATTCAAATAACATGCAAGTTCCTGTTTTCATTAGGGGTCTTTGAACATGACTTATCTGAGAGTTGAAATTTAGGGTGGATATACCATCTTTCAGGTGGCTTTTTAGAACCTCAAGGAAACGGATAGAAACATTAACTGAACGTCAGTTTGAAAGGTTAAGTATGTTTCAACGTTTAAAATTGATTTTACTATCGATCTAGATCTGGGTCCATCTTTTTCGGTAACTTACAGGTTCAGAAGTTGGGGACTTCTATTATTACTTTGCAAATACTGCGTTATTAAACTATACACTGCATGTCATGTGATTTAATAAATATACCTTTTAAATTCAAATACTTTCGTTGAAAACATGAGTGTTCAGAATAAACGGTAGTTTAGAAATACCTGAAATAACAGTGGGAATTATAATTAATAACTCAAATCTGGCAATGTTTCAGGTACCAGCTGGACATAAAACCGGAAGTCACAAAAACAAAAATCATAACTTCATAATAAAACGAAACAAACACTACGATGAGAACAGACAATATGTCACAAACATATTCATAATTTCTTTGTCTAAACGAAAAGTAACAGTTTACTTTATTCATAATGTTCTTTCTATGAATAGTCAATATTTAATTGTTATATTTGATACAGTTTTCATGGAGAATTTCGCAAATTAAATCGATCACACCGGAAGTTGTCGGTTGACACAACCTGTGATTTTCATATTTCCGAGAACAGAGTTATAATGCATTTGACGCAATAGGTCAAATATCTGTACCTGCGCGTTATCTCTGATGATGATCACAGAAGAGTTATGAAACATGCCATGGCTGACAGAAATTTTCAGAATGTGGGAAGTCATTTTACGAGTACCCCCTCTTTTTGTCATAGACTCTCTTCTCAACAACTCACTTTTCACCTACTATCAAGTGTACTTTCAGTTCCTTCACTTTGAAACGCCGATGACATGGATCCAGTACATCGAATGGCTGTTTCTTTTATCGCTGTGTTAGTATTTCATTGATATATTTATTAATGTTTAATGTTTATCCAGTATCACCACTTCCTGGAACGTTTGTGCACAGAGGCACGCAACTACTTTTAATACTGATCTTTTATATCCCATAACGTACCCAGCGACTGAAAGTCTAACAAGATCAATATTAATAGTAGTTGCGTGTCCCTGTGTTTTGTGTAGTATCGGTGCTGGACACACAAAACAAGATGTACATATTCATGCCGGCCTTACTAGCTCACTGGGTCTCTTTATCAGTAGTAGGTAATATTGATCTGGTTGGGTACAACCCCCTCAGATGGGTAAATTAATGATCCTGCATTTGGGTATCAGTTATTGTTAACCTATTTACAATCATAATTTTATATTACTGGTATTGGGAATTAAGTTAAATAAATACACATATATTGTTCTTTTGAACATTCGCTAGGAATGGGTCTCTCTTAAAAGCGTCTTCAACCGACAACAAGCGTATTCAAGTGACAACAAGCGTCGCCACACAAATTCTTCAAAAATACTGTGTTCACCTATGCCAGAGACCTATACGTCTCTGCCTATGCGAAGCCCTACCCTACGTACACATGTGGCACGGCGTATAGCTTAATATCTGGACATCGTATGAACTAAATTCACGATAACTCAATCATTTTTCAACAAATCAAATTAAAATTTGGTATATAGTTGTATCATAGTCATATGAATAACATATCTCATGATGTCGCTTACTTTATCAATTATTTTAAGAGGTAAAGTCTAAAGACGCTTCTTGATCTGTACAGTTTTATCTGGCGACGCTTTCTTCACTTTACATGCTAATACACACATGTGCTACGCTGCGATCGTAAATATTCAATTCATCATAACTCGATCATTTAATCAAATATCAAATTAAAATTTGGTACAGAGGTGTATTATAGTCATATTAACAACATATCTTCTGATGTCGCTTACTTTATTCAGTATTTTTAAAGATTTTGTCTGGCGACGCTTGTTGTCACTTGAAGACGCTTTTAAGTAAGACCGCTAGGAATTAAAGGGGTGTCATTTTTTTCAACATAACCAACCAGTGAAATAAAAAATTGTATCTGCCTACCTCATAAACTAAATTGAAATATTGAATTAATGAAATGAGAAAAAAATTCTCAGTGCGACAACTTAAATTTCCTATCATATTTCTAAACATGGAATACTACATGTTCAAACAAATATATTACAGTATGCATGACTAAAAATTGTCAAAATTGTCAAAACTTTTTTTGAAATGAAGAGAAATATTTTCAACGCTGTTAGTTATTTCATAAACTGCCTTTTGTGATGAAGTGTTCCATTTGGGTACTCCGCTAGCTTAAAATTCCAATTGAATCTGACTCACTTTAAGGCACACATGCTGTTGATACCTAAGAAATACAGAAAATGAAAGCTAAAGGCATGTATTGTTTCAATACAGTAACAAATTTGGTCTTTCAGAATCTTTATAGGAAATATTCATATTTCTCTTTAAAAAGTGTCCCATTTTGGGTACCCTCGCCCACCGATGCAAAAGTGATCAACTGTATTACTTCCATTGCTTAAAGTGCAGCGTAGCTAAAAATAAAATTTCATGTTAATCTGTAGTCGGACGTTAGGTCTATTTAGCATACATATTGACTCTCCAGACTTCGGGTCTATTTAGCATATGTTCTGACTCTCCAAACTTCAGGGAAACTTCTATTCTAAAACTATTCTAATTTTGAAACTGCTAAATGTTGTAAGGGTCAAAGCCGTGCAACTTATAAGTAAGGTGGCAACATATTTATGTCTATACTGAGTTTTGATTTTTGTACGCTCGTCAAATTTGACGGAAGTATTATGGTATGGGGTTGTCCGTCCATCCGATGTAAACTTTTGTTTGTCCGGCAATCTCCTCCTACATTTTTCGACCGATCTCTTTGAAACTTGGTTATACATTATAATCATGATATAAAGTTGTGTCTCCCTTAAAAGAATTTTGATTCGACAATTTTTGCAAAAGTTATTGCCTTTTGTTCATTTCAGTATTTGATTTTTTGTCCAGAGATATTTCTCCTACATTTTTAGCTCACCTTGTCCGAAGGACCATGGTGAGCTTATGCCATACCGCAGCGTCGGTCGTTCGTCCGTCCCTCGATTTTTCCTTTAAAACGCTACTTGTCCTGAATGGCCAAGTAGATTTTGACTAAATTTGGTCTGGAGCATCCTTAGGCCAAGGGGACTCAATTTGTATAAACGGTGGGTGTGGCCCCCCCTGGGGGCAGAGGGGCGGGGCCCAATAGGGGAAATATAGCAGGTTCTTTAAAATCCTTCTTCTGTAGGAATGAAAGGATTTGTTCCATATTTTGGCTGAAGCATCCTTGCGTGAAGGGGAACCAACTTTGTATAAACCATGGGTCTGGCCTGCCGGGGGCCTGAGGGGCGGGGCCCAATAGGGGAAACATAGCAAATTATTCTATAAGATCCTTCTTCTTCTGTAGGAATAAAAGGATTTGTTCCATATTTGGTGTGGAACATCCATGGGTTAAGGGGAACCAATTTTGTATAAATGGTGAGCGTGGCCCCCCTGGGACCTGAGGGGCGGGGCCCAATTGTTCTCGCTATATCTCAAGTACTGGATGGATCTTTCTGAAATTCATATGTACTTACAGCACCTACCATGGAGTGCTATATCTTTACTTCATACCAACTATTTTAAACATATTCAGGTGAGCGATACAGGCCCTCTGGGCCTCTTGTTTATAGCATGTCAGCTAACCACACTTAGAATGATGCAGATCTTAGTTCAATGTAAGAAAGTATATAACACTATATGGCATTCGACGGGCGTATATTGTTCCGCCCCGCGGTACTCTTGTTAAGTAAACAGCTACTTTGAATTCATCAAGAATTTCTAGTGCTACTAGCTAGTACTGCATCAATCATTCTAGTGTTACAGAGTGTGCAGCAGAGGAGTGGGGAGATGGCAGGGTAATTTTCACTTTATTCCAAATGGAAAATAGAGCTATTTTCCCCCTAATTCTGTAATCTATTCTGAAGCAACAGACAGAGTTCCCAAAGTTTCAAAAACAGTTTTGGTGTGTAAGGTGTTAAAATTAGCTACACAAAAGACATGAAATAAAAAAAAGCTTGTTCGTCTGGTCCCTTCTTGTAATATATGGAAAATTTATATTGGTGCCTGCAAGGTGGGATCAACTCTATTTAGCTCACCTGGCACGAAGGGTGTACAAGCCCTCTGGGCCTCTTGTTTCAAATTCTGTTTGTACTTGAATTGGTTAGATGATACCAAGTTGGGCTGGTCTGAGGGACTGCTAGTGAACACTCACCAGGTAACTTATAGTTAAGATCTGTACCACGTCCCTGTGGCTATAGGGGGCATCCATCTAGAATTTGGAGTTCTCACGACTGCAAGCCCATTAATCAATAGTACAGGACTGTGCTATTTCAGTACTTCGGGATAATGGATTTTATGTTGGGGCTAGCAAAAATCTACTATATTTTATATTATGAAATATATTATAGGTTGAGAAAAAAATATATTTCTAAACATTTGCCAGCAGAATTGAGGGTTGAGCTACCAGAAATATCCTAAGAGGAAGAGTGTAACTCTTAACTTCAATACATTGAAAAAATAAGAAGTTGAATTCCACTAATTTTATAATTATGTAAACAAAAACCTGAAAGATTTTGGTAAAAAGGAAATATGTGTCACCTGTAACTTATAAAGGATGTAGTGTTGTTTATTGCGTTATTGTAAATTATTCTGATGATTGAACTGTAATGTTTCAATCATAACACACGCCAAGTGTGAATTGTTGTAATTATTAAAACCCTTCTGACACATTCTTGCAACAAAATTATCTCAAAATATTGAAATGTTGCAAAAAATACTACATTTAAACATTGGTATTCAGGAAAGTTAAATATTAAATTCTGGATTTGTTGAAGTTTGAAATATTTCACTAATACCTTGCCAGGAACAATGCTCTTTTTTATTTCTTGTTTACCTTTACAAAATTTGTTCTGTAAGGATTGCCTCCCTTTCGCAAATTCTCATGCTATAGGAATTGGGAATGGTAAACTAATTTTCAAAAGTTCTGCTTTTAGCAGATGTATGGAAAAATTGCTATTTTTAATAAGTCTTTGCTTTTTTGTATATAACTTAAAACATTTCAATCAACAAGTCAATAACTTGTCAAAAATTCTCAATTATAGAAAATTGCACTAAAAATTCCAAATTTGATTTACCAAGGGTCTTAACGTATTATGGATTTGTAAGAATTAGCCATGCAAATTAGGCAGAAAGTCTCTAAATCTCATTGGGAATGGGACCAAATTTTGACCTCCAAACACAGTGTATAAAGACTTAATAACATGTTCCCCTGAACAAATAGGCATGGTATTGAATTAGCTGAAGTGTGGTTGATGATGTGCCTCATAGTCTCTTATTTCTTGAGCACAGACACGGTTTGTACACTTTAATTAGCGTGAATTTCACAGTGGGTCGTGTTGAGTCACATCCTTTCAAATTATATATTACGTTCATAAATAATTCAATGTACATGTTGATAAACAGTCATAATTATGTATTAAAAATGAATATTCAAATTAGACATTGTGAAGCTATATGGCAAGCCTGTTTTTTGGTTTTTACCCATTTAATACAGATATCTACAGATATCTGTACTGATTGCATTATGAGAGAGATATCTGTATTTTAAATGCAGATATCTATATTTGCATTGAAATAGAGATATCTGTAATTAAAATGCAGATATCTATAATTATACAATAAAAACAGATATCTGTATTTAAAATGCAGATATTTTTATTTCAATTATAGTTATCTCTATTTTCATTAAAGATATCTGTATTCTGTCAATAAATTCAGATATCTGTATTAAATGGGTAAAAACCCAAACCACTTGCCATAAAGCTAGACAGTCTGAACAATGACAATATAATTGGTTGTAAATTTGATACATATACAACAGTGTCACAATCACTGTTGTTACTTTACAATCAGCCATCACTTTAGGTATTCACAAAACATGTTGCATATTAATTTAAAAAGTAAACAAAAATTGAAGCATACAAGGACATACAGAACATATCTTCATTCCGATTTAGTGAATAATTAAATTAACTCATTTACCCCTGAAGACACATTTGAACTCTTCCAGTTCAAATGTTGGAATAGTTCATTATGAGATTTCAGGGGTGAATAAGTTAATTGAGGTACATCTTATCACCTTATAAAAATTCTGTAGTATTTTTTTTTTATTTATTTATTAGTTAAAAGCCTTGAATTGTTACTTTTAATTTAAGAGATTAAAAAACCCACCTAAGAATGTCTTTAACACCATAGCAACCAAAATACAGTGTTTATTAAAATCACCTTTAAGGCTGTTAATCAGAGAAAAGTTTTAATCAAGGAAATTGTGGTACAGTGCTATAATTACATTCAGGTGAGGTGGTACAAGGAAGGGAGGATAATATTAACCTGCGATGCTGATTGCTCTATGCATCTCCATACAAACATACACGTATATGTGGAGATATTAGCCAGGTGACATATGACTAGTAGTTATAAGTGCCTGATAAGGCAGCACCTGCAAATTCCTCAAAATTGCATTCATTAATATACTGTAAAGATTGTATGATTTGTATATCTTTGTTTTGTAAAACACATTGGGGTGGCGTGGTATTCTAGCAAGATAGAAATCTTAATCAAATGTTGTACTGTATAATAAAGCATAAATACCTGCGTAGTAAATAACACATTTTTGTACTCGAGTATTAATGTAATAATAAATATTCACAGCTAATTAATTGCACTAATGATTTAACAACAGAAAGGAAACAAAGCAAGGTATACAAATGTGAAATATATATATATATATCTATAACACATTTATTGTAGAGCTCAAGACAGGAAAAAAGTAAATTTAAACGTATGCCCTAAATCTGTCAACCTATGTCAATAGTTAGTAAATGGTGTTTAATCTCAATGATCAATTTGGAGCACTTGCAGTTAAAAAAATTCTAAAGATAATTCCAAACTAACATAAGACACTTTTATTTTCAAGATGGATGTTTTGGTATTTATCTCTGACATTAAGCCACATACTTTTGGAAATTATTTGATGATGATTTTGTTTAGCAGAAATCAGTCTGGTATAATCATTGGTGACCAAGTAGCTTAGTTTGTTGATTAGAGAAAAACAATACACGCAAAACTTATTATATAAAGTGAAAGAGTGATTTGAGATGAATAATTAAGGATGAATCGGAAAAAAATATATAAAAAGGAAAAAGTGTTAAGCATTTGAAGAGAAATACTGAAAGTCAAGAGAGAAGTGCTAATTAACTATCATGGGGAAAAAACTGACAAGTCTAGATCTGGGTGTGGAAAAAATCTTGATAATATAAATGAAGTACAATTATCCCTGTGTGCTCAATTCTACCTACCTAGAGCAAATGTGACAAGTTTCCTCTGACCCCGACACCTGCAGGCTAAGGCATTTTGACAGATTGATGTCTGGTGTGGGAGACTTTAGACATTTTAACAGATAGATGTCTCAATCTCTCAAGATATCTTAAGTCTGGTGTACATGTCAGGGCCAGAGGAAAATCAGGCTACCTAAAACAGTGTAAAATATGATCAGTTTTAAGTATAAAAGTTTGTCGGGTACCGGTGTTACAAACAAATTCAAGATTGTCATATGTATGTGATAATTTGCAAAAACTTTGTGTACTCTATATATGATGTTCAGTGACAGATTCTTAAAATCACCTGCAGCTTAATATGATGTCATGCCTACATCTATTGACTTCAATTCAGTATCTCAATGGCATGACATGTCTGTGGTCCTAATTATAGGACGTTATGTTGGAAACATTGCTTAAAGTAACATTTTAAAGTTTGTCCATGATGTAGGATTAAACAATATAGTGTATTTGACCGCAAATAAGCCCCCTCCCCGCTTTGGCAATTGCCCTGGGAACAGGGTGGGTGTCTGTAATTAAGCCCCCTCCCTAATTTTGTCCCTCTCTCAAAAAAAATGTATGTTAATTTTTGTCTCTAACATAAACAAATTAGCTAACTGGATGCAAAACAGCATAAAAAAGTAGTGGTGTGACAAATACTGGTATGGAGTTAGGAACTAAATTTGTACTCCAACTGATAGTCGGCTTGAGGAGTGTTTTAGTAAATTGTAGACATAATAATGTAATCAACTTTGTCTTAGTGATATTTTATAAACCAGGGGTAGCTGAGATTTTATTGTGTCAATTTACAGTTTACAATTAGACAGAATCTGGTTTAAAATACCAGTCTGGTTTGTTGGCCTCTGTACCGAATTAGGTCGCCATGTAAATTGTACCCTATCGCAAGTGGAATTTTTTCAGTGTAATAAATTGTTAAACACATTTTTGTTTTCTTGTAAAGTTGCACATCAGTACATACTCATTTGATAATTTAAATATTATTGGAAGTTTAAAAAATCCAAAAGTTAAACATGAATTGAAAATGATAATAGGTGGTACACTGAAAAAACATTGTACAACACCAGTGCACCAATGTGATTTCAGCCTTAAACATCTCTTACTTATAAAATAATTTTTATTTAATTTTTGCAGGTACATCTGTGGCCCTGGTGATTTTTCTTCTGGGGACCCGGCAGCTGCTCACCATGTACAGCTATATTCTTTCCTTAGTCGCCGTCTTCGTCTCATTAAACATGAATCTAACATTCACCAGGCCTGCAACCAAATCGCTTTGGATGGTGGAGTTTTCAAATCCCAAAAACCAAACCACAGATTATTTGGTACCACCAGAGATAGTTCGTCATGGATTACAAACCTGTATAAATTATTTACTTGGTCAGCTGGCTGCCGCTTTCATCTTCTGTAAATCCTGGCAATATCGAAGAGAAGTTCGAACTGAAAACAAGAAACATGTATATAGTGTCTTTTTGTCATTCATTTTTCCAATTATCATGGCACAAATAATGCAGATGATGGATTTAAGTTCAGAGACACTACTTTTCTTTATACAAGTGGCAGGGTTGGTCCTTCCACTGGAGATTCTGTCAACGAATGTGATTAACACAGCATCTTCATTTTACTTCACTTTCAAGCGTTCGTATAACCTCGTGAAATTGACTATCGGTGCCATCGGATTACAAGGCTTTCTGGAAAATCACTGGGTTCGTTTACAAGTTCCCAGGGTGCTAAGAATATTTTTTACAAGTAGATTTATATTTCAAGTTGGATATCTGTATTGGTCATCGTTAAATCAAGTTAATGTTAGTTATTTCAGTACAGATATTTTAAACAACATAGGTTACCAGGTAGTGGTGCGAAGCTGTGATGATGTTGTTGCACTGCTTGGTTTGACTAGCATTGTGTCATTCTGTGCCCATTACATTGGCGTTTTTATGGCATTTTGTATAGGATCGTCTGAAGACGACGACAAAAACATGGGTACGGTGTCTGCAATTTTATTCTTTATACTTGCCCTGCAAACAGGGCTTACAGGATTAGAACCTGACAAAAGACTAGTAAGACTCTGCAAAAATTTATACTTACTTGGAACAGCCATCACACACTTTGTTCACAGCATGGTACATCCTCTGTTAATGTCACTGAGTGCGTCGCGCAACATGCACATCCAGCGACACGTGCGAGCACTGGCAATGTGTGCCTTCCTCATCACATTCCCTTCCTGCCTTTTGGTCTACCTCTGGAGCATGCATAAGGTCAACACATGGCTCATGGCCGTCACAGCATTCAGCCTTGAGGTCATCATCAAGGTCATAGTATCCCTCATGGTATATTTTCTATTCATGCTGGATGCATATCGAGACAAATTTTGGGAATCCCTGGATGACTATGTTTATTACATTCAGTCAACTGGCAACACAATAGAATTCCTATTTGGAATTTTCCTATTTTGTAATGGAGGTTGGATACTACTGTTTGAATCTGGAGGAACAATCCGTGCTGTTATGATGTGTATCCATGCCTATTTTAACATCTGGGTGCAAGCGAAAGAAGGTTGGAAGGTTTTTATGAAGAGGAAAACAGCTGTAGATAAGATAAATTCTCTCCCCTTGGCCAGTCAAGAACAACTCGATACGCTCAACGATGTGTGTGCTATTTGTTACCAAGAGCTTCAGAATGCCCGGATAACATCTTGTAATCACTATTTTCATGGCGTCTGTCTCCGGAAATGGCTATACGTTCAAGATAACTGTCCAATGTGCTACAAGGTAATTTACCATACTGTCGGGGGAGACAACTCCAGTGTGGAAGGGGATGATGCCAATCAAAACAATATTAACAATGGTTTAATAGCACCAGTCCCAGTTCAACGTGATCATCAAGATTAGCTGGGTCTGTTAAATGCTGTGTAATGTTACTGCCTATGAACTATGTATAGTAAATCAGGAAACCTGTATAAACCAGACAATATAGAGAGAAAAAAACACGCTATGTTTCTATGTAAATTTCACATATAACATCTTTTCCATGATTTTCATGTATTTTTTTTAAAAAGTTCAAGTTCTCCGGACCTGCAAACATGAGAACTCAGCAATAACATTTACGGTATTCATTACATAATACAGAAGTCATGTGATAAGAATTCATTTTGTGGATTCTTAGATTATTCATTGTAATTGCCTACTGGTTGCCATTATGATTCTGTAACTCAAAAAAAAAAAAAATCCAAGAGATCTTGATAAATAAACCAGAAATATAGCCATATATATAGAAGACTTGTCTTTACACAAAAATTACAAAACTTGTTATAGTTTGTGGTAATGAGTCATTGAAGGTATCAAGGTTTTGAATGACTGGTTTATACAGGTTTCCAAATTGTAGAATTTCTGATGTAATTTCTATGGTTACAGTTATATAGCGTAATTTTTGCATTATTTTTAATTGAAATTTATAAGAAGAAGCAAGTATATTTGATAAATAACCTGCTGTATTTTACTGGTGAAAATTTTGCCCAGTGAACTTCATACCCTGTACATACTCATGGATAGGTAGTATAAGTAGGTCTGTGTACATTAATGCAATTGATGTTATTGTCAGGGTATTTTAACATCCACTTTCATGTATCTTTAAAATCAGTTGAAACAGGTGAGCTTAATGCTCTGACTGTACCACCAGTACAAGTTGTAATTGATTTGAATGAGAGAATTTATGTTGGAGTGAAATTAATTTGATTCATTGGTTGATGTAATGTGTAAATGCACTCTGGGACCAGAGTCCTTTTATATTGTTCAAAGTTGTCGTGAGTTAGTTGTTTCTGGTTATAGAAGAGTAGGAAAACATTTTGAATTCAAAGCTGTCCTCTTTGAGCAAATGATTAAATAATTAACATTTACCACCAAGTGAAATTAGATGACTACTTAATTAATGTTTGCCATTAAACAACACTTACATTTTGTACTTAATTCAGTGACATTTAAGGATCCCCGTACCACTGCCAAAAGCTGTTACTGTACATTGGAAACTGTTTTTTCAAGCATGACTATAGTTTTGATTTTGATGAATCATTTTGAAGACAAACCATATTTTGAGGGATTTTCATGAAAAAAAATATAATTTGAAATATGAAATAATCAAAATATTAACAACAACCTCATTCTGAGTGTAAAAAATCTACACGACTAGACAGGGATTCGAACCCTGGACTTCAGATTGTTGAAATGCCCTGGCCCAATTGTGCTAGGGTTAAATAAAGAAGGAATTAATTCATTCACCCCTGAAATTTCATAATGAACTAATTTAATATTCCAACCTTTAAATTGGAAGAGTTCAAATGTGTCTTCAGGGATGAATGAGTTATAAGAAGATTACTGTTTATATGAAAAACCAAACTACATTAGGACAGGGATCCTTAAGCCACGAAAAATGATACGAAAAAGAGTTTTTGATGAGGATAATTCAAAAAAACTTTCTATATAACAGTTTTATTAATTTTTTCGTTATACTTTAGCTTTTTGCTTAGGTTAAATGAGAAAAAAACACTGCTAAAACTTGGTTCTTCTTGAAAATTGAAAAACTGGAGGTTTGACACAAAGATACAGGAAGGTTCCTCTTCTATTTTTGTCATGTAGCTTAATGAAAAATAATATGTAATAGGCGATTGTAATCTTATTGCTTTTGATAGACATCAAACTAATCTCATACTATTACAATTAAATTGAACAACTTCTGAAAAACTGGAGGACCTAGGGTCATGATATTTGGCCAGTAGGTACCTGGGATGGAGTGCTATAAAGTTTCCTCATTAAAATGATCTTTACCTACTTTCAAGGTCACTGGGGTCAAATATATTCAAAACTTCAAACGACAATATCCTAAGAACCATTTGGACTATTGGAGTCATAATACTTGGGTATGTTATGTAGACAAGCTGTGTGAATTGTGTTTTTTTTATTACATTAATGAGGTCAAATGTCAATTTTAAGTGCAAGTCGGGAGTCAAAGGTCAATGTGGGTTAAAAGCTTTAAAATTAAAACTGAAATCTTCAGAACCGTTTAAGAGATGTTAAAATGTCTTGTGTTCTGGTTACCAAATTTCAGAAATTTGGTCTTAAGTTACCTATATGTCTGTTCATGTAACAAAAGAAACAGGTGAGCGATATATCGATACAGGCCATCTTGGCCTCTTGTTTTACCACCAGTATTAAATCTAATGCAACAGAATCTTGGACATTACTATAGGGCACTATACAGACATGTATAATCACTTCAGACTAGCTAATCAGACATCAATCAGATACCTTTTCATTTCAGCAAATTTTATTCCCGATATTACTGGTACATGAAAGGAATTGAACAAAGGCTAGGCCTATGTTTTCTCCTAATCATACAATTGTATATGATTAAAATGTTAATAGTTTAAACGCTATGTTGAAAGTTTATGTGTGTTAAAGCTTATGTGTTAAAATTTGATTTTTATGTTGTTGCTAGCTCACCTGGCACACATTCGTTAAAGTGCCTGTTAGCTTTTGGCATGATGCAGCATTCGTCGTCTGTCTGTCAACCTCTTTGAACGACTTCTTTTTGACAACTGAAAAACCTAATACTTGGGCAGTAGGTACTTTGGATGGAATGCTGCAAATTTCCTCATGTAAATGAACTTGACCAACTTTCAAGGTCACAAGGGGCAAATATGAAAAACAAAAATTTAGATAACATTTTCTGAAGATCCATCATATCTTATCCATGGTACTTAGGTATGATTTGTAAATTCAAAGCAGCAGCAGTATATTAATATACTGCGTTAAGGACAAGTCACAGAGGTGGTTTTTTTAAATTTTAACATCTGACAGTATAATATCTAGTTTGTTGACAGAAAATGCCTGACCAATATGTAACTTTCATGTCACATCTCATCTCATCTTCCAACAAGTTTGCCTAGCATTCATCTTGTAATACCAGTCCAAGTGAGCGCTACAGGCCCTCTGAGACTTTTGTTATTTTGTTAAGTATAATACCGGTAGTTGTTGAATTTTGATGTAATCATATGTATGTATGGTAATATGTTGTACCATGAATAAGATTATACAGATTTATTGGAGGTTTTTTACGTGTGTGTGTTTACATTTAAATTGTCAAAAAAGAAATAAAATTACGTAAATCTATACCATTTCGATCCAATAAGTGCACCTGTGTCTTTAAAGATAGAGGGTGTGTTTATGAATATGTATTTAATTAATTGACACCCACTTGTGTTATTACCAACCCATCTGCAGTAATTTCTAATGTATTGAGCTTCTTATGTGATTTAATTTGTGATTTTGTAAACACGGTCCCCTTTTAAGGCTGAATGGTTTTGTATGTAAGTGATTATACATGTAATATCACAGATAAGTATCACTGTCTTTCATTACTGACAAAGTTACATGTATCAAGTGTAGTTGAAAATTACGTCGTTAAGGCGCTGCACTAAATTAATTTGGATTTTTTGTTTTTTTAGATGACTTCTCAGTTCATGTTTTCAATATATTTTTTAAAGTAGAAATCTACATAAAAGTACCGTTGAATTCTCTAGTGTGTTTGCCTGCAGGTGTTTGCCTGGGATCCTAAATATAGATAGTGTTAATCACTCTGGTTTGGGAGAGAAAATATGTTGCTATCTTAATTAAGGATGAAAGTATGAGTCAGGTAAAATGTTAAAATGTCTCGCTAAGTATTTATTCAGAAGACACATTCAAGTGAAGTATAAACATGTATAAATAGCTATAAAGGTTTTAAGTTATTAGAAGCACTTGAAAAGTCGGGAAAAGAAGTATTTGGGAAAATCAAGTGATAAATGGTATGATTAAAGGGGTTTTCATGGTATTAATATCAATAGTCATTAATCACTTTTTTGTAATCATAATTTTGCACCATCTCCTTGGATCGGCACTTCAGACAATCATAATTGCGATATTTTCATTTTAAAATGTTTCGTGATTAACAGTAATTGAAACAAATATAAATTTAACTTTAAACTTTGTAAAAATACTGCTGGATAAATGCTTGATTTGTCCAGTAGCTAACTGCTATGAGCCAAGAAAATATGAAATCTTAGCTTCTATCCAACATACATTGTAATAAATGTATTAAAATTACAGAATTCACATATATTCCAGACATCATCATTTTCATTCGCTCACTGTTTGAAATGTTGTCAGTTTCATTTGATTGCCATATTTTATTTAAGAACATACACAAAATTATTACTTTATCAAAATATTTTAAATGAGATTTTGGATAAATCTGATTTGGGAGAGGAATTCAATTGATATAAGCTCTAAGCTTGTTTTCCCATCCCTCTGAAATCATATGTATGTAATAAACATGCTTGATTATTGAATAAAATTCTGTTAAAACTAAACAATATGATGATAAACCATTCATGGGTCATGTAAATCATGAAATTGCCTATATATAACCCTAAATAGTTTTTACCTATTTCTCCAACATAGGAATGTATGTTAACAGCCAAGACTAGCTTTATATAACAGAGATCTGGTAATCTCTCATTCCTGTGAGTAAGTCCAGAGTAAGAAGGAGGTATATTAAAATTCATATCCTGCACTAGTCCATTTCATATGAATAATGTCACAAAATGGGATAACAATGCAGGGTGGAAGTTGTTTGTGATGGTTTCTGATCTGAGTGATTGGAATGAGAGAAAAATACTATTTCATGCCCAGGGGTGTAGGATAGGGAAATTCTAACCAGGAGATTTTCGAATCAGTGCAAAACACTCGGGAAGCCTCAATCAGGTTTTACAAAATTTGAAAAACTTTTTGGTGGAAATTCCTTATCCTGCACCCCTTGGCTTGAAAGAGTCTTAAAGTCTATCATTAAAGGAATGAACTGGACAAGCATTATTTAGAATTAGAATATATACAGATCATATACACTTAATTGTCTATTGTTGTACTCGCTTGCACTGACTGAATTGTTGCTGCACTGTAGTAAGAATTTTAGTATGTTATTTTTTTATTCAGAATCAAATACTTAAGATATTTCTTATTTCATTTGTACACTGACATACACAGATTGATGTCAGATTTGACGTTTTTATTTTTTGCATGTCCAGTTCTGAAACGAACTTACACCGTACATCTTGAATACATGTACCTGGTTTAACTTTCTATCTACAATATAGTAAACGGGAAATTTTTGCTGAAGTATAACTTCCCCTTTTCATGCTCCATCATAATAAGTAATAGCAAATTCACCCTGGTCAGATATGGATGTTACCATTGAAAGGTGAAAGTTTGCCTGGGTGACAATTCCACGTGATGCAGTACTGGTCTGCTTATTAAGCACAGGGTCCAGGGTCCGTATTCATGAAACTGTTCCTATGCTCAAACATGGATTCCGTGCCTAAACACTTTGTAACTCACTTAAATCATGTCAAACGGTCTTATGTAAACATTAAAAACAGTATTCGGCTTTTAAGTCTCTTCAATGTTTCCTTAAATCATTGACAAAATAAGATATTTGTTTTAGTCTATAGTGAGAACAAGAAATTTGGCTTGAGCACAAAATCCATGCTGGAGCACGAGAATGGTTTCATGAATACAACCCCAGGCTTTATTAGCTTTATGGTTTGTCACTGACCTATATACAGAGGAATACAGACGGTCAGTAAGAAATGTAGGTGGTGAGCTGTTGACCCCCTCTAGCTGACAAGCTATATATACCTATAGAGGGTCAATGACAAACTAACAAAGTGGCAAATATCCCAAGAAAGGCTTGTTAAAGCACACCAGGTATATAATCAAAACATTTTCTCATCCTTATGTGGAAAGTTTGTGTCAAACCATCACCACAGAAGATTATATAGCCGTCGGTGACATTATTCAATTGTGATGTGTTACTGTATGGAATTGGATCACTATAGAATTTTTACTGTCTGATCATAGTTGATGAGAGTTCACTATTAGACCATTTTTGGTGTCCGAGATGCAATAAAATGCGATAAAGAAAATCCAGTACCAGGGTACATAAAATATGTTTCTGAGATATGGATGCAGTGTTAGTGTTTTTTCCTGAAAACTTAACCATCACATTCATGAAACAGTTAATTTAATTCTAATATATCAAGGTATAATAATAAAGACCAGAAAAAGTGCTTGAAATCATGATGAGGTATTAGAAGTTATCTAGTAGATTTTAATTTTTGTTTGAACCTTAAACTTTTTTGGTAGATAATCTACCAAAAAAGTTTTATGTTCAAACAAAATTAAAGTTGTCTGTCAAAAAGTTCCACTTTGAAGAACCACATTTTATAGCTATGAAGATATCTA